CTCTACTAAAAATACAAAAATTAGCCAAGTGTGGTGGCGCGCACCTGTGACCCCAGCTACTTAGGAGGCTGAGGTGGGAGAATCACTTGAACCCTGGAGGTGGAGGTTGCAGTGAGCCAAGATAGCATCATTGCACTCCAGCCTGGGTGACAAGAGTGAAACCCGTCTCCATAAATAAATAAATACATGTAAAATAAAATAGAAATGGCCCATTCAAAATTCATGAGAAAAACATGGAGAGGGAGGTGGCTCCTGGAGGGAGTGGTGTGGGACCAATAGCTAAAGGAATCCAGTTTTGGTGAGCTATCTGCACCATCAAGGTGAAGTGTCATCAGCCCCTTGCTCCACAAAGCTCGTGGAAATAGAGAACCATGAATTCGATCGAGAGACAAGCTTCATGAAGAATCATGGGTTCTTTCTTTTTTTTCTTTTCTTTTCTTTTTTTTGTGAGACAGTCTCACTGTCACGCAGGCTGGAGTGTGGTGATGCGATTTTGGCTTACTGCAATCTTTGCCTCTCAGGCTCACCTGCCTTAGCTTCCTATAGGCAGGTGCAAGCCACCATGCATGGCTGATTTTCATTTTTTGTGGAGACAAGGTCTTGAGAGGTCTCACTATGTTGCCCAGGCTGGTCTTGGACTCCTGGGCTCAAGTGGTCCTCCTGCCTTGGCCTCCTTAAAGTGCTAGGATTACAGGCATGAGCAGCTATGCTCAGCCTGGGATCATGGGTTCTTTAACTGTACCCTCTTCAGAGCTTAGCCCAGTATGGGATATAAAGAAGCTTCTCAGGATAGATTGACTATTATTTGCAAAGGTAATCAGAAGTGAGTGTGTGCTTGGAACAGATACCAGAGAATACAGTCTCCGCGATGAGATCATCTGGGCCCTGTGAAAGAAACTGTTTGGCAGAGGTGGTTGCTTTTCAAAGCTGGCTGGGTGCGTTTCGGTCCTGTGTTAGCTGTTTAGAGTCAAGGCTGGCCTCAGTGAGAAGGGAAGAGCCAGCGAGTGGGTGGTCTAGCCTCCTGCACTCAAATATGTCTCCCCCAAAAGCTGAGAGTCCCTTTGGAATTCAGTTTCTTTCAGTTATTTCTGCCTGTTCAAATGGGAACACCTTGTCCTGAATGGTGAATGAATTGTTTTCTTCCCCATTAGGGCTTCTAGTTGAAAACCATACCCTACCAGATGAAATGCAGAAGTGATATTTGTGGAAAGTGGTCTGGGTGGAAACCCTCCTCTAAATCCCTTCTGAGATCTCAAAGGACACTCGTTCTCAGAAGAGCCTAGAAGACAGAGACGGGGCAAGGAGGGGTCCCACAGCTGCCCAACACCAGCCAGCACATAATTTGGGTCAAGATTTGGTTAATTGTGGGTTGGGACAAAGTGAAAGAAAACATGGCTCACAAAGGAAGTCCAATGGCACCCATATGACACATGTACGCTGGGCTCAGTTACAGACATGGGGAGGAGCAAGTTTGGAAGCCGCAACTGTCACCATCAGGGAGAGCTGGGGCCACAGCTAGGAGACAGGACCTCTAGTCAGAGTCGCTGCTGTTTCAGGGATGGAAGACTCAGATGCTACAGGCTTGACCTGCCTTCAAGGTATGATTGATGGCAGGTATGCTGAGAAGTTTATTTGCCTCCTGGAATGTTTTCCCTACCTGCTCACAGATGCCTGACATTCCTTTTAACAGGGAACAAGCCTTGCATTACAGAGCAAAAGAGCAAGCTTAAAACGGCCATCGGAGGAGAATTTCATATCTGAGAAAGACAGCAAGAGGGGGAGAATGGTTGTGTGTGTGTGTGTGTGTGTGTGTGTGTGTTTGTCTAGGATGGTATAATTATGCTCAAGGCCATCAAAATAAGAAAATTTGGAGGCTGGGCACAGTGGCTCACACCTATAATCCCACTCCTTTGGGAGGCTGAGGCAGGCGGATCATTTGAGGTCAGGAGTTCGCGACCAGCCTGGCCAACATGGTGCAACCCCGTCTCTACTCAAAATACAAAAAAATCAGCCAGGAGTGGTGGCACACATCTGTAGTACCAGCAACTCGGGAGATTGAGGCAGGAGAATCACTTGAACCTAGCAGGTGGAGGTTACAGTGAGCCGAGACTGAGCTATTACACTCCAGACTGGGTGACAGAGCTAGACTCCATCTCAAAAAAAAAAAAACAAAAAAGAGAAAGAAAATTTGGAGTCCTGTTGGTGGGGTGGGAGGAGGGAGAGCACAGGAAGAATAGCTAATGAATGCTGGGCTTAGTACCTAGGTAATGGGTTGACCTGTGCAGCAAACCACTGTGGCACACATTTACCTATGTAACAAACCTGCACATCCTGCACATGTACCCTCAAACTTAAAATAAATGTTGATTTAAAAAGTAAAAAGAAAATTTGCTTTCTCCCCACATAATAGCAGTAGCAGCAGCATTTCAGAATGGCTTTATTTTTTCCCAGCTTTAAGAAGCAGAGGAAAGCAAGGCCTTTCTTCCAGGCAAGAATATGAAAAAGGGGGGGGGAGGGGTTGTTGCTTTAAGGGGAGTTGCGCTTATTTTTTTTTTGTCTTTTTTTTTTTTTTTTTTTTCCTTTTTGTGGAGAACGGGGTCTCGCTATATTACCCAGGCAGGTCTCGAACTCCTGGGCTCAAGCTATCCTCCCGCCTCTGCCTCCCTGAGAGCTGGGATTACAGGCGTGAGCCACCGCGCCCGGCCTCATATTCTCGATTTAAATTCTTTCATAGATCTCAAATTGTCGCTCTGAAATGCAGTACTTCCCTCTGCTGGCCATAGGGTTGTATAGCTCATCAAAAACAAGGATGTCTCCCAAGTCCTCTCCCTTATCCAAGACTAAGGAATTGACTCTGGACATGAGGTAGGAGATAAATCAAATATAGGATGATTTTCCAACCCTCACGCCCCCCTCAGAAAACATCCTTGAGTGTCTTTTGGCTCTGAATTTAAACAGGTTTATCTAGCTTCTCCAGCCTGTGCTTAGCCAATCAGGTCACACTGGCATGAATGTGCAAAGAACAATGGCTTGGAGCCCCACCCACCCAATTGCAGGACCTTGGCCCCCTTCCAAAACCTCCCTTGGAGATTCTGGAATACTTTCAGGGGACTGAGGCTCGTGATTTGGGGTTTGGGACCTCACAGAGAGTCCACCGTGTTCTTCCTGCTGGCTTCTGTCCCTACACCATCTCTTGGTTAAAAAGCCCCTCAAGGGCTCAGGCCGGGTGCGGTGGCTCACACCTGTAATCCCAGCACTTTGGGAGGCTGAGGTGGGCGGATCACCTGAGGTCAGGAGTTTGAGACCTCCCTGACCAACAGAAACTCCGTCTCTACTAAAAATGCAAAAATTAGCTGGGCATGGTGGCACAAACCTGTAATCCCAGCTACTTGAGAGGCTGAGGCAGGGGAATTGCTTGAACCTGGGAGGCAGAGGTTGCAGTGAGCCGAGATAGCACCACTGCACTCCAGCCTCGGTGACAGAGCAAGACTCCATCTCAACAACAGCAACAAAAGCCCTTGAAAGAAATTTTCTGCTGCTCTGTTGTTCTGCCTGAGCTGCAGTCTGCTAATTCTCAAATCTGCCTCAGTTGCAGTCCTGCTAGTGGCAGTTTCTGTGCAGACGTAGGAAAAGGGGCCCCACAAGATGGTTGGAATTTATTCCAATATATTCGCATGACCAAATAACAAGTTACATGCTCTCCATTGCATGGTGGTGCGTTTGGTTAAAAAGCTACCATAGCCTAGCAGAGTGGTGGTGATGCGTACCTATAGTCCCAGCTACTCAGGAGGCTGAGGGAGGAGGATTGCTTGAGCCCAGGAGTTTGAAATCAGTCTGGACAACATAGTAAGACCCCGTCTTTTTTTTTTTTTTTAAAAAAAAAGGTACCATGCTTAGGGGGCTTTTTGTGAAACTGACTTTCCACAAATTGATTCTGAAATCAGAGTGAAAACTCTACTAGTATTTTCTATTTCTTTAAGATGTTTTATTTTATTTATTTATTTATTTATTTGAGACAGAGTCTCCCTCTGTTGCCAGGCTGGAGCACAGTGGTGTGATCTCAGCTCACTGCAACCTCCGACTCCCTTGTTCAAGCGATTCTCCTGCCTCAGCCTCCCAAGTAGCTGGGATTACAGGCACACGCCACCATGCCCAGCTGATTTTTGTATTTTTAGTAGAGACAGGATTTCACCGTGTTGGCCAGGATGTTCTTGATCTCCTGACCTCATGATCCGCCCACCTTGGCCTCCCAAAGTGCTGGGATTACAGGCGTGAGCCATGGCCCCTGGCCAAGATGTTTTATTCAAATTCTACTTTGATTTTATTTGAGGCCTTCAAAACCTTCCGTAATGAAGTGTGGATACATCCTTTAGGATGAGAAATAGAGCCTAAAGGAGATGTTCTCAACATGACTCTCCAGTAATCAGTAGTAGTAAGTACTAGGGTCAAACTTCACCTTGGGGAGAAAAAGGGTATTTATAGGTTTATGGGCCTTTCTCAAAGGCAGACTGAAAAATACAAAACACAGGTCTCAATGTAGAGGCTGAGAAGTGGGAGCATATCCAGTTTTTAAAAGCAAATAAAATACAAGTTATTACTTGTGACACAAGCAAGCCGGAACCCCAAGACCCAGAGGTGCTTCTTGGCATCCGGAAGAAGCCGATGTGGTGGCAGTGCTCTGAGTCGGGGGATGCTCAAGGATTACTCTGTAGGCCTTCAGTGATGTGTTTAGTGCTGCAGTGGGAAACTTCACCTCTCTTTTAACACCAGTCTAAGGCCTCAGCTCTGCTCTGATAGGAGCTACTGGAAGCAAGTGACTTTGCAGAGGACCTAAACTGTAAGAAGTTCACATTGAAAGTTGTAGCCAGGGTCGGTTTCATGGGTGTGCATCCGGCATAGACAGGGCCTCATGCTCAGAAATGCTCTATTCAAAAGGGTCCTGCACTGGGGAGCTAATGCTCCATGACTACTGTCTTAGAATTTTTTTCTGTTTTTTTGAGGTGGGGGGATCTCGCTATGCTTCCCAGTCTGGACTCAAATTCCTGGGCTCAAGTGATTCTCCCTCCTCAGCTTCCTGAGTAGCTGGGACTTCAGGTGTGTGCCACTGCACCCAACTTGTCTTGAAATTCTTAATAATTTTATCTTTGCATTTGCATTTTGCAAGTGAAGTCCAATGGGACAATGCAGCATGCACTGAGGGCTTGGAGTCTTGGCCCATGCATGGTCTGCCTCTCCCTGTTTCCCTGGAACAGTTTTCAGCTGCCTGTTCCCCGCTCCCTGGTTCCCCAGGCCCCACCTGACTTCACCTTCCTTGCTGAACTCTGCCTGCTGTAGGGGCCTAGCTGTGGGCACAGGGAGAAGTGAGGTTGAGTTGGTGTGCCCTATGGCATTTTGGGGAGCAGCAGGGTGGCAGCCATCCTTGCCCTGGGCTGGCAGTGCCATGGTGCCTTTGATGGTCAGCAGCAGGACCAGGTCTCTCAGCCATCCCCTGGCCAGGTGCTGAGACTGCTTTGGAATGGAGATTTAATCCCTTGGGGTCTCCCAGCAGCCATGGGTTGGGGCAGTAGCTCCATGGGAAGGGAAGATTGATGGCCTCACCTCATCCTTGCCCCTGGGCAGAGACGGCATGTCAGTCTGGTGGTCTAGCCAGAGGAGGACTCCTGGAGCTGGGGAACTGTGCATGGATATGCAGTCATGGGCAGCCCACCTCCTACTCCTCACCCCCCCAGTGCCTGCGAGGGTCTGCACTCACCCTGTAAGTATCTCTGTGCCCAAGAAAGCATAGCATCAAATAGCAAATAAGAAACACCAAGAAAGGGCAAGAGAAAGACCACAGAAGAAAGGAAAAGTTTGTATTTTAGTGCCTCTAATGACACGTTTCCCCCCTACCCATCTTTTCTTTTTTTTCTTTTCTTTCTTCTTTCTTCTTTTTCTTCTTCTTTTTTTTTTTTTTTTCAGGGTCTTGCTTTATTGCCCAGGCTGGAGTACAGTGGCGCAATCACGGCTCACTGCAGCCTCAACCTCCTGGGCCCAAGCAATCTTCCCACCTTGGTCTCCTAAAGTGCTAGGATAACAGGCATGAGCCGCCACACCTGGCTGAGGCCTCACATTTTCATTTTGTGCTGAGACTTGTAAATTAGGTAGCTAGCCCTGGCTGTAGCGGAGGGTATAGATTCTTTTTCTGGCTCTGTTTTTGTGACATCTCAACTTACTGGGCTCTTATTAAAGGTGATTTAGGTGACTTATCAACTTTTCATGAGTACAGATGAAGAACTCTTCTAGGGCAGGGGTCTCCATCCCCTGGGCCACAGACCAGTACTGGCCTCAGGAACCAGGCCGCACAGCAGGAGGTGAGTGGCAGGCAAGCAAGTCAAGCTTCATCTGTATTTACGGCCACTCCCCATCACTGGCATTATCACCTGAGCTTGGCCTCCTGTCAGATCAGTGGCGACCTTGATTGACATAGGAGCATGAACCCTCTAGTGAACTGCCCATGGGGGAGATCTAGGTTGCATGCTTCTCAGGAGAATCTAATGCCTGATGACCCGTCACTGTCTCCCATTACTCCCAGATGGGATCGTCTAGTTGCAAGAAAACAAGTTCAGGACTCTCACTGATTTTACCTTATGGTGAGTTGTATAATCATTTCATTATATATTACAACGTAATAATAATAGAAATAAAGTGCACAATAAATGTAATGCACTTGAATCATCCCTAAACTATCCCCTGCCACCCTAGTCTGTGGAAAAACGGTCTTTCTTTTTTTTTTTTTTTTTTTTTTTGAGACGGAGTCTAAGCTCACCACCGCGCCCAGGCTGGAGTGCAGTGGCCGGATCTCAGCTCACTGCAAGCTCCGCCTCCCGGGTTCACGCCATTCCTCCTGCCTCAGCCTCCCGAGTAGCTGGGACTACAGGCGCCCGCCACTACGCCCGGCTAGTTTTTGTAGTTTTAGTAGAAGCGGGGTTTACCGTGTTAGCCAGGATGGTCTCGATCTTCTGACCTCGTGATCCGCCCCGTCTCGGTCTCCCAAAGTGCTGGGATTACAGGCTTGAGCACGCGCCGGCCTGGAAGCGGTCTTTCATGAAACTGGTCCCTGTTGCCAAAGATTTAGGACTGCTGCTGTAGAAGGCTGGGATTGGGAGGTGGGGGTCACACAAATAGCCACTGACAACCTAAGAATAGTCAGCATGGGCCTGTAAAAACAGATCAATAGGTATTTGTGGAAGGTACAGTGAATACATGAATGAATGAATGAAACAATAAACTAAGAAAAATGGTATGGCATGCATGAATGTGTGATGGGCCCAAAATGTAGTCCTCACGAGGATGTTTGCCTTAGAAAAGAGGCAAGGCTAAGAAGCTGAAAAAAAATCTGTAGCACGTGGCGTGGGAAACCTAGAGCTCTGGAAGTATAGGTGGGAGAATCTAAGTCTCTGTAGAACTACTCTTGGGTATCCAATCTTCTCTGCTCACTGCAATGAGCTTTTTCTGCCCTGCGGCTTCCACGCCCAACAGCCCAGTATTTGATGTCTAGAAGAGGTTCTAGCCTGTGGGGCTGTAATCCCAACCTCCGGGGAGTTCGAAGTGGGAGGATTGCTTGAGCCCAGGAGTTCAAGAACAGCCTAGGCAACCTAGTGAGACCACATCTCTACAAAAAATTTAAAAATTAGCTCAACGTGGTGGTGTGTGTCCATAGTCCCAGCTACTCAGGAGGCTGAGACAGGAGATCACTTGAGCCCACAGGCTACAGTGAACCATGATTGTGCCACTACACTCCAGCCTGGGTGACAGAGCAAGACCTTGTCGCTCAAAAAAACAAAAAGAGAAAATGAAGAGGAGTTCTTGCACTGTACAATAGGACTATTTTTTGTTTTTTGAATCAGAGTCTTGCTCTGTCACCCAGGCTGGAGTGCCCAGCGGCAGGATTTATTTTTTGAGTCAGAGTCTTGCTCTGTCACCCAGGCTGGAGTGCAATGGCAGGATCTCGGCTCACTGCAACCTCCGCCTGCTGGGTTCAAGTGATTCTTCTGCCTCAGCCTCCCAAGTAGCTGGGATTACAGGCACACGCCACCATGCCCGGCTAATTTTTGTATTTTTAGTAGATGGGGTTTCACCATATTGGCCAGACTGGTCTTGAACTCCTGATCTCATGTGATCCACCTGCCTCGGCCTCCCAAAGTGCTAGGATTACAGGCATAAACCATCTCACCCAGCCACAATAAGAGCTTTTTAATGAGAAGAAGACAGAAGTCTTGATAGAGAATTTCTCTTCCTGAGAGGAAGTACCAGCAGGTTATGAACCTTAGTTGATTTGTTTTTAAAATCTCAAGCTGTAATAATTCCCAATTGCTCGGTGCACAGTGAATGAGGCTGATATTTAAACAGAATGCCGCATGGCACCCACTGTGTCCACACTTCCTCCCTGCCTGTCCTATGCCTCTCCAGGTGATGTCCACCTTCTCCTTGAAGCCCTCTCTGACTGCTCCAGTCCCTGAGCTTTCCTTCCTGCACTCGTACAGCATGAGGAAGGCTCCATCTTTTTCTAGATGCGCTATTGTTTTAGCATTTGCCGTGTGCACTTTAGAGCCTCATTGCCTCTTTGAGGCCAAGGACGGCACTGTCCCTTCTCTCTAGTTGCTCTGAGTGCCAAGCACAGCCCTGAACACCAAATACTTTGACTCTTTTCTGGCTACTCAACCCTCCTGGCTGTTCCTTCATCACCCTGGACCTGCCCCCATCCCAGGGTCTTTGCACTTGCTCTCCCTCTGCCTGGAAAGCCCTTCTCCCTGCAATCTGCAGGGCTTGATTACTCTTCTCTTTCAGGGCTTTGCTCAAATGTTACCTCATCAATGCACCGTTCTCTGACCATCCTATTGAATATTCCAAATCTTTTTTTTTTTTTTTTTTTGAGACAGAGTCTCACTCTGCTGCCCAGGCTGGAGTGTAATGGTTCAATCTTGGCTCACTGCAGCCTCCACCTCCCAGGTTCAAGTGATCCTCCCACCTCAGCTTCCTAAGTAGCTGGATCTACAGACATATGCCACCACGTCCAGACTTTTTTTTTTTTTTTTTTTTTGAGACAGAGTCTTGCTCTTGTCACCCAGGCTGGGGTGCAGTGGCACGATCTTGGCTCACTGCAACCTCCACCTCCCGGGTTCAAGTGATTCTCATACCTCATCCTCCTGAGTAGCTGGGATTACAGGTGCCCGCCACCACACCTGGCTAATTTTTTTATTTTTAGTAGAGACAGAGTTTTGCCATGTTGGCCAGGCTAGTCTCAAACTCCTAACCTCAGGTGATCCACCTGCCTCGGCCTCCCAAAGTGCTGGGATTACAGGTGTAAGCAGGCCAGGAACTATTGTGCCATGGATATTGTTGGTAGCCTATCCATCTTCCATGTCCACATCTGCAGGGGAAGGGGACCCTACCCTCAGCTCCTGGGGTGGTCCCTGGTTGGCACAGCCAGTTGGCACAGTCCATTTTCCTGAACACAGTCACAGCCTTCAGAGGGGCACCTGGAACTTGAGCTGTCCAATCAGGGAGATTCTCGGGACTCTTACCTGTAATGTTGCTGTAGACTTGTTTCCTGTTCTTCCTGGAGACATTGTTGGCCTGACTGAGCCCTCTGGCCACCAGAGTGAGGATGTGGACAACATAAAGCAGAGGGCAGAACCGAGGGAACCCCAGATAAGGGGAGACAGACCTGGACTAAGGCAACTCTGAAAGGCAAGACTTTCTGGATATTTTTAAGGCACTTGGGGACTAAAGTAATAGAGAGTCTAACAAAAAAATTTGAGATGTCCATTATTTATATTGTTCGAAGTATAAAGAAATATGGAAACTCCTTTGCTTACAAACTTCCAGCTTCCAATTAAGCAGAGGCCCCAAAGCTATAGCCCAAAGCAGAAGTATGTTGCCTTTAACAGGGGGCACCTGTCGCCGACTCCCAAGAGTGTGGAGTTGGGAACACTATAGTTGGCATTTTCAGCTTGTTCTAGAAGTCCAGGACTATGTATCTTGTCTTCTTAACCTGAATGGGATTCTCCCCAATCCAGGGAATGAGCTGTGAGCTTTTTTTTTTTTTTTTTTTTTGAGACAGGGTCTCACTCTGTCACACATGCTGGAGTGCAGTGGTACAATCATAATCACGGCTCACTGCAGCCTTGACCTTCTGGGCTCAAGCAATCCTCCTGCCTCAGCCTCCCAAGTAGCTGGGACTACAGGCATGTGCCAACAAGCCCAGCTAATTCTTGTGCTTTTGTAGAGATGGGATTTCACCTTGTTGCTCAGTCTGGTCTCAGACTCCTGGACTCAAGTGATCTGCCTGCCTCAGCCTCCAGAAGTGCAGGGATTACAAGTGTGAGCCACCACGCCTGAGTTCTCTCTTATTGGAATGAAAGTTTTCAGGGGATGCACATTTCAGCTCCCTGCACCCCTGTAATGACAAGAGAGACCCATGCTGTAATGTCCTTTTCGCAAATGGCCGAGAGCACACAGATCTGACATGCGTGGAAGGTATTGTGAGGCTGTGTTCTGAAAAGGAATAGTAAACTAGGAAAAGTTTCTCTTCAAACAAACAAACAAAAACCTGGCCTCTGCCAAGCACGTGCTTCTCCCAGGTTCTTGGCTTCTCAGTTTACTTCCTGTCTTATCTGTAGCAAATGGTTGCTGAGAACCTGGAAGCAATTCCTTATTTGCAGTCAATGGCAGATTTTTTTTTTTTTTTTCCTTTTTGAGACAGTCTCGCTTTGT